TTTTTCATTGTACAGCTCGCCTGTATCCGTCTATGTGCTGTTTATTGTGAGGTTCTGCTGATCCACTGTGCATTCTTGATAAGTTGATGTGCCAAAGTGTACTTTGCAGTGAATTGGTGCATTTTTTTTTTATATAATTGGCTTCATAATGCACCCTGCTGCAGAGCAATTTCCCATCTGAGATTATAGAGTAGAGAGGTCCCATGCTGATTCTAAGGATGTGCACTGGGGCCGATCCAGGCATATTTTAATGGATCGGTACCGACTAAAATAAAACGGATCTTAATCCAATCTCTTTTTTTATTGTATTCCGCCTTGTGCTGTCCACCTCAGCTTGCTGCACAGCTCTTTAAAAGACAGCGAGCTCTACACAGCAAGCATTTTACTGCGTACAAGAGTGAAAACTACAGTTTGTGAATTAGACAAATAGTTTGGTTGCATTTGTAACTGACCCTGTTCTAGTGAGCTAAACAAATCTGATGTGTCTCCTTTCTTTTTCTTATCACGAAAGATCAGTGGGCGAAACGTTTAGTAGGCAGCTTCTCATTTTGGCAGGTGGTGATCGTTACTTTCACAGTTTAAAATGACAAATGTTGCCGTTGGCAGGTCACATCAGCTGTTGCTAACTGATGGCAGTTTTATGAGTAGCTGTGTGACAGAACAGGATTGGTATTGGCTGATATATGTGTTTATTAATATCCATATCAGCTTTACAGTATTGGTTGGGCTATATAGCATAGGGCATGTGAGAAAACATTTAAAATGAAACTGAAGACATCTCAACTTGCCAGACACAGACATAACTTACCATTTGTCTGTTGCTGCACTGAATGGCATATTTGTGGTGACAATTCAATTTCAGGAAATATGAAGGCTGTTGCTTCCAAAGACAAACAACATCTGTAGAGAATGTAGTAGAGAAGTGCAGCTTTTTATCAAACCCTAACCACGACTTTTTTTTAGTTCATCTTAACTGATTGTTGTTAGGAGCAGAATGCAGACATAACCCTCATTTTTCATTGGAGGTATTGTTGAAGGACTCTACTGTACGTGGTCTGAGAAAGAAACAAAAAAAGAATGAGCTATGTGAAAACAAATATTTAGACATTTTTGGACTTGCATCCTATTGGAGCAAATGAGGTCTGTGGACATGGAAAAGCCTTCTACAGCGCTATTTAGTAATTGCAGGTCCCACTGTTTCTAGGGATAGCAACATATCATTAGATCCAGTAAGATGCATTAGTGTGAGGGATGGCAATAGCACCAAGCTGTATCTCCCTGTGGTCCTTCATTAGCTACTAATCCACTGATGATCGTTATTAGAGAGACAGGCGTGTGTGTGTGCGCGCGTGTGTGTGTGCGCACATGTGTGTGTGTGTGTGTGTGTGATGCATTTTGGCATAGTGCTCTGTATATTAGCCTAGTGATTTATTATCTGACTAATGCTGTCCCTTCTTCCCCAAAGCTGCATTGTCCTTTTGCCAATTAATTCTGAATCTGTTACGACCACAGAGACGGAGGGAGAGAGAAAGGGAGAGATTATCAACAAATACATTTGTTGAACCGCAGAGTCAAGTGCAGTGCTATATTTTTTTTTCAGAAGATATGGCTGGTTAATCCCACTCTTCTGTCTTCTTTTGATGTCCGCTTATGTTTTCCCTTATAACGTTCCCTCGTTACCTCCCTTCTCTAATGACATTGATTTATGCAATTGCTTGCTGGTGCTTTTTTTTTTTTTTCCCCCTTTCTCTTCTTGATTCTTCCATCTTCCACTTTTCGTTGTTCTGTTTCTATAACAACAGCGGGGTCATTTTTCAGCCTCTGAGCTTTAGTCTTTGTCCTGTTCATGTGACTCTTATTTCTCTTGCTGTTTTTTTTCCTGCTCTGCTCTATGTTACTCTAGTGTACCTTCTCAGTCTGGAAATACTTTTTTTTTTTTTTCTGTAACTCTTTTCCTGTCTACTTTCGATTGTTTAGTGCATGGCCATGTGGACGGTGTCAGTTTTTCACCACTACTTGCATCTGTTATAACAGTCAGTCAATGTACAACAGACTCCAAATAAAAATGACATTTGTTTCTTTCAAAAATTGACAAAATTAAAAGCAAACCTCTGGCATTAGTCGTGAAATTACTGTTCTGCTCCCTTGCAGGGACTGGTGAACGCTGCTGTGTGTCTGTGTGTATGTGTGTGTGGGTGGGTGTAGTGATAATAACGGTATGGGACGCGACTTTATATTACCACTGTCACTGTGATTGCTGTTTTCTTTGGGTGCATTTAGTGCAACACTGATTGTAATTGCTAGTTGAGGGATACAGGGATGGCCTCCTTACTTTCTTCTGGATTACATTTCTGGTGTCTGTTGTTCACGTGGCATATTCAAAACAAACAAAAAAAAGAGGTGTGACTGAATTATTTTTGGAAAAACACATTCCTGACTTAACAGCTGAATCACACATTTTTAAAATCACGCTGTGTGTCATTTGTATCTGACTGAATTTCACATGTGCTATGCTTCTTGTTTGATTAATTATGTTGCCATCCATCCATTTTCTATACACTGCTTAATCCTCACTAGGGTCGCGGGGGGCTGGAGCCTATCCCAGCTGACTCAGGGTGAAGGCAGGGGACACCCTGGACAGGTCACCAGTCTATCGCAGGGCTACACTTAGAGACAGACAACCAAGCACACTCACATTCACACCTACGGACAATTTAGAATCACCAATTAACCTCAACGTGTTTTTGAACTGTGGGAGGAAGCCGGAGAACCTGCAGAGAACCTACGCTGCACGGGGAGAACATGCAAACTCCATGCAGAAAGATCCCGGGTGTCCTCACTGAGACGTGAACCGGCGACCCTTTAGCTGCGAGGCAACGGTGCTAACCACCGAGCCACCTTGCAGCCCTATACCTGTTGCACAAACCTTAATTCTATGCTAGAATTGTATAAAGCCAGTATAATGCTGCCCGAATCTGCAAGTCCACAAGGTTCTGCCAGGATAGACATAAATATCATCATCTGATGATTTGATGAGTTTGTGAGAGATTGCATGGACACCTCTGTGAACATATGTTGGCAAAAATGTGTCAACTGTATTACTAGGGCAATAATGCGCATGCTGGGCAGCAGTGTGCATGCCGTAAATGTGTATACGATTTAATCATAGTAGCAGACAACTGAGACTTAAAGAAGTTTCACCTCTCATTCAAGAGGCTTCCGAAGTTCAGAACTACTGAAGCACAGGATTACAGTGTCCTGGATGAGTGAGAATCTAAACATAAATACAACCTCCTGCACACGTATGAAACTAAGTACTCCAAATGGACTCTGGTGGACTGGGAGAGGAGTGTAACAGCAACAGTGTCTGTGACATCCGTCGCTGTCCATGTGCACGTCCTCAAGGGAGTATAATAGGCTTACATGACTGCTTTCCACCTTACTGCCATGCCTGTAACAGCAGGAGTAATCTTTAACAGAGTATTGTGTAAAATGCACCAGTGCTTGGCTTTGTGCAGTAAGCACACTGCATTGAATAGAACCAGTCATTATTTTCATTTTCGCTTAATCTGTGAATTATTCAAAAAATAAGAAGGCCATATTTAGTGCGTGAAGTGTGAGGAAAATGTCACAGTTACAATTTCTAATGTCTTAAACTTACTTGTTTTGTCTGACTAATAGTCCAACCCTATAATATTAGGTTTACTCTAACATATGGCAAAGACAGAGAATCCTCACATTAGGTGATACCAGCAAATATACTGTTGAAGAATGTATTTAATAAGAGCTCTTTTTTCTGTAGTTAATTTTTTTGACTAATTGTTTCTTTTTTTTTTAATCAAGTGTCATGGATTTTCAACAGCACAGTAATCATTTGTACATTTACAGCATTATTGAGGCTACCATGCACACCCATAAGCTTTAGCCCTGTGTAAACTGCTCTTTGTCTTTCTTATTGGCACAGCTTTGTTTATATTTATGATTTCATATTAACCACGTAGCATTCGCTGTCAGGACTGACAGAGAAGAACAGACTTGTGTTATACACTGACACAAGCACCTCTCAAAGACAAAGCAAAAGAGATACATTCACTTAACATGGGATAAATACTTGCTGACTGATGTAGTGATTGCGGTTTTTGTCATTTTTTTTGTCGAAAGTGGTCAACAAGCTACTGTGTGTGTGTGTGGGGCAAGGATGCCTGAAACATGATGATAAGAAAACCCAACGTTAAGAGGAACCAGATTTGAGGAAAAAGATTTGTATGTTAGGCCGGCAGAGCAATGTGGAAATATCAGCCTTGCAGATGTAAGTCAGGCTTGCTATGACAATTACAGTGCCCTCCATAATTATTGGCACCTCTGGTTAAGATGTGTTAAAAGCCTTAAAATAAATTCATTTTTTATTGCAGAAGCATGCTCTCACACTGAAAATTGTAGAAAAATGTAACCTTCAACTCAACTCAAATGAATTGTTGGCAAAAGGAGGTTGTACAAATTATTAACATCATAATAATAATTGTGGCACACATGATTTGATGTAAAAGAATTATTTTTTAATGTGGGATTTTTTCACATTGAATAAATGCACTTGAATTAAAGGTTGAATTTTCCTCTTTGTTTCATTGTGGTCCTATATCATTTAGAAAAAAAATGAATTTATTAGAAGCTAAAGAACACATCTTAACCAGCCAATAATTATGGAGGGCGCTGTATATCTGAATGGTATACGATGGATGTAGCTGGTAGAGCAGGCCTTTCAAAATTTTGCAAGATTTGTGATCCTAACCCTTTACTATAAGCAGACAATACTAGGTACTGGTTGTATTAAAATGATGTGTTCCTCATTTATACTCTTTTTTCCCCCCCCCAAAAAATGCAAAAATACAATAAAGTAAAATAAACATTTCCTGCACTGTTCAACATCAGTGTCAAACATCTGCAGCTACCACAAACAACTGTCCCTAAACTAACTCCCTGTCTAATTTCTTGTTCCTCAGGTCCAGAGTGGTACTTGGTCAGAGTGGAGCTGACTGTGACAGATGTAAATGACAACATCCCAGAATGGAGCATGGTTCCTGCCCCCTACCTGGCTGTGGTTTCCCCTGATGCCCCTGCAGGTTCTCTGGTCTATAAGCTCTTCGCTCAGGATGGAGATGAAGGCAACAATGGTGAAGTGGAGTACTTTCTGTCTGATGGTAGGTTATGTGTTCCTTTTTCTTCTGCTGACTGCCCTATAAATAGTACAGGATGACCACTTATGCCTCTGCTTTTTCTGTTGTGACTAATCAAAGTGTTTGCAGTAGTCAGTGATAAACAATGTGAACCGGCACTAGGTTTTCAATCTAAAGTCTTACTGTCTCAGCCACAGTGAAGGGATCAGAGTTTAGATACCAGAGACTTGCAATATTAGGTTTTTCAATGATTACATTGACTAAAGTAGTAAACTAATTTAAATTTAATACATGCATAAATAAATAAATAAATAAATAATTGTCTGTAGGTCTTGTGAGTCTAAATTACGTCAATAATTTTGCATAATTAAAGCGTTTTCAGAATAGCGGGAATCATAGTAAACACTTTCAAATCTTTCCAGGATGCAGAGTCAGTCTATTTCTTTTCCTCCTTGAATCCTGAGCCTCTGCCTTGCCAACTTTTTATGCACACACAATTTTCCAGTGTAATAGCATACGTTTCTCCACTACGCAATATAATTGCTTTTCTTATTGTCTGCCATGTAATGATTTCTTGCGCCCACTTTGGAATCTGTTAAAGAGACCATCTTCCAATTTTCCTCATGGGGCTGCGTGAGGGAAAAAAACTGACAGAAGAAATTATATTAAAAACACAAATATTCTTGTTTGTGTCTAGACTGGAGTTTTTGGTCATTTGATTTAATTGATGTTTCATGCATCAAAGGCCCACTTGTCTACCAATTTTGAGAATTTGTTTTGCATTTAATTACAACAGGATTTTGCAATAGGAGGACTCCTATAGAGGAAATGCTTTGTGGTCTGGATGAAAGTTCTTAAGCTTGTTAGTTTGCACAGATGTCAAGGAATGTCCTCGTTTCAGTTCTCTGCTTTTGGCATTACACACCTTAACAACTTAAAAAACTGACTGTCCAGTAATTTTTGTAACTGTATTGGTGCATAACTAGTGTACGTTTACAGCATGTTTGATAACTATTAAATGGAACATTTTGTACACAGCTCCTTGCCTTGTAATCCTTTATAGTGATATGTTTTTAATGGTTCTTTGTTCTTCTTTATCTTGTCCAACAAATCCTCTGCAGGTGGTGATGGTCGCTTTGAAGTAGACAAAAAGAATGGCCAGGTGCGGACTACAGGCCTTCCTCTGCAGCGGGACAGGGAGTACCTGCTGACGGTTGTTGCTGCAGACCGGCTGGGCAGCCGCAGCGCCCCCGCCGTCGTCTCTGTGGTTGCAGGAGCCCGGCCTCCACAGTTTACCAACGCTTCTTTCACCATTGCCATACCAGAAAACACCCCTGAAGGACAACCGTAAGTTTACACATGCACTGAGTTTCTGTACTAGACATCAACATGAAGTGGGATGTACACTTCAGGCTCTCACACATATACTTTTCTCTCCAAAGTTGTCTTTGTACCTCTGCACTGGTTGTTGTTCATGCTGACAAAGACTACGTTTACACTGCTTGAGTGTTTGAAAGACAAATTCATCACCAGTATTAAATATGCACTCATATTTCGTCTGTTTTTCTTTTTGACTGCGATCACAGATCTTCACATTTCACAGAATGTTAACTAGTTTTCCATTGTGTCACACATTAACCTTGAGCGTACGTAGTGCATTTAGAAGACTGCCTTCAAGTATGTATTTACATTAACAGTAAGGTTGTCTGTATTTTTATAGTCTTATTATCATTAAGTGGAGTGGAGACAGAGACAGGTTTAAGGAGCTACAGTACAGGTTAAGCTAGGTGGTGAGGGAGGCTAAATGATTATGCTCTGAGAAGCTTCAACACCATTTCTCAGCCAAAGACTCTGCCTCTGCCTGGAAAGGGCTCAGACAGATCACCAGCCACAAACCAAAAGCCCTTCACTCCATTAACAACCTGCACCTGGCCAATGACCTGAACAAGTTCTACTGTTGCTCAACCATCAGCTCTGGCCCATCATTTTCACCTCCCCCAACCCAGAAGGAGTCTGGACCCCTCAACGACACTTCTCACCATCCTGGAGAGAGATGTCAGTTGGCTCTTCCAGAGACAGAACCCATGCAAAGCAGCCAGGCTGGATTCTGTCTCTCCATCCACCTTAAAGCACTGTGCTGACCAGCTGGCCAGCCTGCTTCAAGACTTCCACCATCATTCCCATCCAAAGAAATGGAAGGACCACTGGACTGAATGACTACTGACTTGTTGCACTGAACTCTGTGGTGATGAAGTCATTTGAGCACCTCGTGCTATCCCACCTCAAATCCATCACCGACCCACTCCTAGATCCTACAGTTCACCCCCTAAGCCAACAGGTCTATAGACGATGCTGTCAACATTGTTCTAAACTCCATCCTTCAGAATCTGGACTCTGCAGGAACCTATCCCAGGATCCTTTTTGTTTTTCAGCTCTGCTTTTAATACGATCATCCCGACTCTGCTGCAGGACAAGCTCTCCCAGCTGTGCATGCCTGACTCCACCTGCAGGTGGATCACTGACTTCCTGTCTAACAGGAGGCAGCAGGTGAAGCTGGGAAAACACGTCTCCCGAACCATCAGCACAACATCAGCCCAGCATCACAACAAGGCTGTATCCTTTCACTGCTGCTCTTCTCCCTGTACACGAGCAGCTTCACCTCCAGTCACCAGTACTACTTCCTGCAGCAGTTGAAGAAATAAAAACCTGCCATAGATAATAATGGTTCACTTTTAAACCTTCATCAATGAGTCTGTCCTCATCTGCTTCATGCTTGTCCGGTATGCTGCTGCTGCCACTGACAAGGACAAGAGCAGACTGCAGCATATCATCCACTCAGCTGAAAAGGTGAGCGGAGGCTGTAATCTCCTGACCCTCCAGGACCTTAAAGTGTTTTGGGAGGATTGTGGCAGACCCCTCCCACCCTGGACATAAACTGTGTGAGCCACTCCCCACTGGCAGGAGGTTGCGGTCCATCAGGACTAGAACCTCACGACAGAGGAACAGTTTTTTTTTTTTTTTTTTTTTCTACAGCGACTTGATTCTTCAACAAGGCCAGAGATAACACCAGTGACACTGCCTCCCCACTGTAGTCTTACTGTTATTTTAGCCACTAAAACACCAAGTCAAATTTCTCATATGTGTAAAGCCACTTGGCTATAAATCTTTCTGATCTAATTCTGATTGTGATTACCATAGATCGCAAGATATGTCAGTTACGTGATTGCTGGATTAGGCCCTAACTTTCCCTGTGATCTATCATCTTTAATGTCAGTATAGACAATCTCACAATGGAGCACAAAGGTGCAGTCATTCACCTCCTGTTCATTTGTTCAGACAATGACAGACCAGAGTTATTAGATATGAGTTACGACAATCTCAATAGAAAAATTAAATGAACAATTAAAATGTATTTTAATTCCATCCATCCATCCACATTATCTATACACCGCTTAATCCTCAGTAGGGTCGCGGGGGCCTGGAGCTTATCCAGACTGAATCAGGGCGAAAGCAGGGGACACCCTGGACAGGTCGCCAGTCTATCACAGGGCGACACAGAGAGACACCGTGTAGCCTGTATTTTAAATTCAACTGTCAAAAATTACAGGCATTTGTACACATTCACAAGTAATCTCAGCTTCAGTAGCACATGCCCAATCTAGTTTAAAATATTAGTACAGGGATGATATTGAAGTCTTGCATCTGGTGGACACAGACGGACTAGAATGGCGGCAGATTGCCTTGAGTAGCCATGATGAAGTCGAAATGCATCGCAGCCAGATGTTATGGACATTGGTTCTCTGAGCAAAGCTTTGGTGAGCAGGCATATGGGGGTACAGAATTTTGTCATATTGCACAGCAGACTTGTCTCGATCGGCACATGGTGAAGGGATTATTCTTTCTCAATCATATCTTCCCTCTTCTAAAGCCCGATATATAGAACATTAATTCCATCACTTCTGCAATGTGCATCTTTTTATTGTTTCCCATTATTTGGCTAAGAAGTGCCAGTGTTCTTTTTTTTTTTTTTCTTTAACACTCTCCCAGTGTAGAAAATAACACTGTTTGTTAAGAAGAACAAAAACAAACAAACAAACAAAAAATATACATCCAGCATTAATCAAAATAAGTCATTTTAACACACTAAAATTGTAGTCACTTATTGTACACCAAATTTTCTTTACTCTTTACACACACACACACACACACACACACACACACACACACACACACAAAATAATAATAATGAAAAAAAAAACTGTTAAAAATGCTGGACAATTTTGTCTAATTAAGCAATTTGTGTACAAGTAGAAAACCAGTTTTTATTTTACTTTATTTTTATTTATTTATTTTTTCCTTGAAAAAAAACACACAAAAAAAAGGATTTTCTACTTGTACAGTTAATAAGTAATAGGCCATGGTTTAGTTTAGTACACACTTCTAGATACATAATGTTACATGTGCACTCAACCTTTCCCACCTCACTACCAAGCAATTTTTGAGAAAATGACATTTTAAAGACACACTTATGTTGTTGGGGAAGTTTCTCTGGTTTACCATTAATCACAGCATACAAGAGTCCTCCTTACTGAAGCTTTCTCTCTCATAAATGAAACATGTAATATAGTGCTTCATAAAACCCACATGTGTATCAGTCACAGACTCACATCTCTCCTGTCGGTGTCTAGCAGTGGTGAGAACCATTTTATCTGACAGACAGCATATTTCAGACTGTCGTTTTGAGTTCATCATCCATGGCAGCCATAATTTGCGGTTGTTTGGCAGATTTACTTTCAGGTTCATTTTTTTTTTACAGCAAAGATGTTATTTCCTACATGTCAACACAACACATTGCACAAGCTTTCAGGAACTCCTCCAGGTCACGCTGGGCTACCAAAGCACTTTTAGGGCTGACTAACTCTGAAAAGCCTCACTGTAAAAGGATTTGAAACAATGGCTAGCTTCACAACATCAGGCCACAAACAACTCATAGTTGCAATAGTCTGTAGAAGACTCTTCATTCAAACACAATATCTGATGTTATATTCACCATGGATTCATTTTGAAACCAAAACATGTTAGGGTTGCTTTGTTTTATTTTATTTATTTATTTTGCAAATTCATTAAAAATCTAAAACTGCATTCTCACTTTCACATAATTAATCAGACCCTTGACTGACTATGGTCAGATTCAATCTGTCTGCTTTACTGATACTTGAGATGTGTCTAGAACACACTGTATGTCAGGAGAAACAGTCTGTTATGAAGTCCAAAGAGCTTCCTTTAGACTGGCATGAAGTCAAGGATGCAGAGTTCCCAGGAGTACTGTGGAGTTTGTTCAAAGGCTCAGCGAACATGAGGAAAAGAAATCCCCATTCAGTGTAATACGTTGGTGGCAGCTTTAGTGTTTGTTTTGTCAATGGAAATTAAAATATCTGTTGACTTTCTAGTTCTTACAACAACAAAAACAACAACAAAAAATAGGGTCACAAAAAAGAAAGAAAGAAAGAAAAAAAAAAAATATATGTATGTATATATATTGCAAAGTCTTCCTCAGTGATCTGCGGCATCTGTGGGATCACACATGGTGGTGCCTGGCAGAAAATGAATTTTTCTGTTTGTATTGCTTGCTCTCCATCTGCTATGCTTCTATCCCCTGCTATCCCCACTCTCACCCCAACTGGTTGGGGCAGATGGCTGCCTTCCCTGAGCCTGGTTCTGTTGGAGGGTTTTTTTTTTTTTGTTCCTTCCCACCGTTGCCTACCACTTGCTCAGATGGAGTCCAAAGACAATTTTGGATTGTTGGCTTGTCTATTCAAATTCATAAGGTTTTCACCTTACTATGTTAAGCGCTATGAGATGACATATGTTGTGAATTGCGCGATATGAATTAAAAAATTGATAACCTGATTTTTACTTGACCTGTAAATTTACAGTTCCTTTGTAGTTACCACATTATATTGAAAGTGCATTTGGTTTCTTTAAAAGTGAAAGTGTTTTGGTTTGCTTGTTTATTAGCTAAACTTGCTTATCAAGCAAACTACTATGCTAACAATGGTAACATGCTGGTCAGTAGTCAGTTAGACATTTGGCTAAAGAGGTGACATTCTAGCTAAGCCATTTGACCAGCCATTATTTAATAAAACTTACCTCCCACAATTTCATCAAATTAGAGGTAGAGTCTTTGGACCATATAAAAGATGGACACAGACTCCACCTTGAAAAGCAAAGCCAATGCAGAAGCAGTTTAAACCTGCATTCTTTATAATTGCCACTAGGGGGCAACTCATCTGGTTGCAAAAAGATGTATGATTATAAAAGAGGTCATGAAAAAATGACCCTATTTCTTTAATGATTTGTTATCTCAGCAAAAATTTCCTAATTAATTTTATGTTTACGGACTCAAGCACCAGTATGAATACTTTTTAAATACACCATAATGTTCATTATGCAAATTAAGGCTCAATTTCGTGTAGAATAGATGATGAAGCAGAGTAAGTTTTGGTACAGGGCTAGCTTGTGATTGACAGGTTGCCACTGTGTCGTTGTGCGTGGTGTCCTTGGATTCTTAGTCAGATCCATTTCTTGCTCATCATATCTGGTTCAAAAAGAACAAGATGGCCACAGCCGAATGCCAAGCTCAAGTTTTCAAAGAGGTAGTTCACAAACCAATGGATGATGTCACGGTTGTTGTGTCAATCTGTTAAATACAGCCTTTGCTTTTGACACAGAAAGCAGCTTTTTTTCTGGCAAGCAGGCTTGCACTGCACAATAATATGCTGGTCTCCTCTTTGAATGTGAGATGATCCTTGAATTTTCAGGACAGAAATGCATTCCTGCCCTGGCTGTGTGTCAACTCCACCCTCTGTGTGGACAGGTGCACTGCATACATTTCCTACTATGGTGCAGATACACCTTTTGCTTCATTTTAAAAGAAAGGTTTAGGAAAAATTGGCAATGCCTTTTTATATTTCAGAGCAAATAATCCAGACTTTTAAAATGTTTCTCTTTTCATCATAATTCGGGGAATGTAAGGGTATTCTAATTACCACAATTTAAATTGTATCTGTAGTTCAATACAGTTACTCCTACTTCGTAGCAGTTCTCAGCGGAAATGGATTCATAGGTCACACCTGAACTGACATTTATAAAAAGGTCAACTAATCTACTACTGCTAATGTAATGCGATGTGTATGAAACTTTAATGTTACTTTCAAATGATTATCATTCATTTTGCCATTAGAAGTAATGAGCATGTTCCCAGATTGATGATGATGCTCCATCCAAAGCATTTTCTACATCTTCACTAAATAAATATCTCTTCATCATTGTTATCCAACCAATTTGTCTTCTCAACACGGTAAACATTGTTTTCATGAACAAGTGTGTGAATCACCTTGTGAATAAGCTGTTGCTCTTAAATGGAGAGAACAGGTAGCTGTGGTGGCGATGGTAATGCTAATGATAATGCTGAGCAGGACTGACAGAGTGAGAACAGTTCTGTTTAAACAGCCAGACTTTAGAAATGATGACAAATTCTAAATTGGACTTACTGAGGAGAGTGTCTTGTACCACTGCACAGCACAGGGACGTTCACACTGTGTGAGTGTGTATAAACAAATAAACAATGTCTTTTCCATGAACCTTGACTAAAATAACAACTTTAACGATGGTAGCCAGACATAAAGACGAAGATATAAGAAATTTTAACAATTTTAAAAATCCGATGTCACTAATGGAAATTAGACCGAAGTTACTTTAGTTTTACTTGACGGGACCCAGCAAGAATCAGGCTTCAACTAAAAGAACATCAGGTGCCAAATTTTACAATAGGTAGGCTTCTGAGCAAAAGGGAGATACAGGCTGGTCAGAATCCATAGAGGAATGAATGCAGCAAGACGTAGAAAGGTGGCGACTGTGGTTCAGGTGGCAGAGCAGGTTGTCCACTAACCGCAAGGTTGGCAATTTGAGCCCGGCCCCTCTGCCTTCCAACGTGTCTTTGGGCAAGACACCGAACCCCACGTTGCTATCAGAGTCAGGTGAATCAATGTCAGCTCTGCCATCATTGGTGCATGAGAGTGCGTTGTTATATTCACACATCGTAAAGTGCTTTTAATACCAGTGAGGGGAAAAGACATTGAATAAGTGCAGACCATTTACCATTTTAAGAAAACGTCTGAGACAACAGTGCACCTTTCCGCACAACAGTGAAACAAAGCATACGGCCAAGACAATGCTTGAGTGGCCCTGCCAAAGCCCAGATTTGAACTACATGTAACATCTGTGGAGAGACCTGAAGATTGTAGTTCAGATGCTTCCCACACAAACAGACGAAGTTTGACAGGATCTGTCAGGAAGAATTAGACAAACTGCCTTACTCCAGGTGTGCAAAGCCTGTAGAGACTTACCTATGAAGACTTGAAGCTCTAATGGCTGCAAAAAAACGGCCGTCTGGACGGTATTGTTTTATGGGTATGAATTCTTTTGTAATTCAGAGATTGGTGTTCAGTGTCTTGAATTTAGTAAAGCTGCAGACATTTCTAAGAGCATGTTTTTACTTTGCTACTGTGGTTTATTTGTTGTAGATTAATAGGGGAAATGCAAATTTTATCCATTTAAAATTTAATTTGCAGTGTTATGGAGTGTGCGAAAAGGGAAGGTGTCTGAACACATTCTAAAAACGACTGTGTCTACTCAACATGAGTAACACAAGTAAGCACACACACAAACACATACACAGCTTCAGCTCTGTCTAAAGCAGTACAATTATGACTAGTGTCCTTGGATTGGTTTCATTATTTCCCTCCAACAAACTAGTAAAATGAATATTGCAACCTGTTGTTTGGCTTCATCGAGGACATTGTGTATGGGTTAGATAGCACATTTATAACATAATAACTAAAGTCAGCATGTTATGGTTGGATGCCCCCACCTTTCTTGGTCTTCTGTATTCTCTGGACAAAGGCCTGTCTGACATAAAGAATTCTTCTCCACACCACTCTAACATATAGAATTATTCACTAAACACCTATTTTATACTCTGCAGTCATGTAAACCAGTCCTATAGCTTATATTGTACGTTCAGTCAACAATGTACTTTTTTGTCCATGTCTCCCCAGCTTCTTGGTCACACCTGCTGTGTCCTTCCAGAGGAAACCAATCAGCTACAGCCTCCTCATCAATCCCAGCAGCCTCTTCTCCATCTCAGCAGAGACGGGTGAAATCAGCCTAACCCGCCCTATTGACTACGAGAGCGACCAGCATCGCTACTTGCTGTTGGTGCGAGCCAGTGAGGGGCTGGAGAGCATGAGCAGTGCAGCAGAGGTTTGTGAGATGAGAATTTCTAATCACATTTCCACTGTCGAATTTAGTGAATGACAATCATGATAGTCCTTAAAAGAAATTTCTGACATTCCAAAGCTGCCTTGTAAATTTCACAAAGTCTGTACAAAAAATACTGCAAACCATTTCTGACAAGACTTCAAAATAAAACTACAATGTCGCAAATGGCATAATGTCACTTTACGTGTTTTTCAGGCAGTGTGGTTATCTTTTATCTGCTGTATTTCAGGCAACTGTCACTTAACTCTTGACCAAGTTGTAGCTGCAGTGCATTGATAGTTGTCTAACAGCTGAATTGCAGTGAGCAGTGGATACTACGTTATATTTTACGGAGAATTTTACTTTGAAACATCCTTGGGTTGAACATGCATTTAGGCAGATGTAATTCCACTGATTGCCATCATTTTATTTTATTTTATTTTTATTTAACCTTTATTTAACCAGGTGAGTCCCATTGAGATTGACATCTCTTTTACAAGGGAGCCCCATTAGCGGAATAGACAGCAAGAATTGTAATTTTTTGCAGTTAAAATAACTTTCCAGTTACATTTTGTAAAGATCAGTGCTACATAGCTCGCTATGGAATGGCTCCAACTTGAATTAATTGAAAAATAGCATTACAATTATCAATTTGACACTGCACCAACTGCACACACGCGCTTTTAAATTTATGAACATTGTCTTCAGTCAAACCCAAATAGACGTGTCTGAGTGGAATGACTGCTCAGGGATTCCCAATGACTTCCTCATGTTGTCAGGAAGTGAGACAGAGTAGCAACTGACCGCTGCAGGCATTGATGCATCTGGTCTGGTTTCCATCATTACTCTGGCCTTAGGCTAAAACATGTCCTGCTGAACCGATCTGTCCTCAACTGCTCCACTCTGAGCCTCTGTGGCCCACAGAGCACCAAGAGAAAGTGTGGAGAAAGAGGGAAGCGAGGGGGAGTGGGAGTGGGTGACTGACAGGAGGATTACTGAATTCAGTGGCGAGAAGAGAAAGACAGACGGATGAAAAGAATGAAAGAGCGAAATTGTAGGAAGTTTGTATGTGCCCTTGTCTTCCTGCGTTCCTGTCCTAGCTAGCCAGGGTTCTTGGCCCCATGCCTGCCCTCTAAAGCCTTCCACTTATCTAGTCCGATTACTACTAATAGATCCACTATTAACCCTTGATTATACTCCAGTGATTACACCCACAGATACTAAAAGATATTAAAACACTTGGTTTACCTCTAGTTTAGGGGAGTTCACTTGGAAGACACTGTTTGCAAGAGTGCACACTATTGCCCTTGTAGTGTAGTTGATACACAGACACAGATTTTGCACTACATGCACACGTGTGCAGGAGGACTTTTGCAGACTTGAGGAAATGATGAAACACAGCCCGCAGACGCAAACGCAGAAAACACAACACTGGCCGATTCAAAGTCTGTTCATAGTCTCTGCGGTGCTAATGTGGACAGCATACATGGTTGGGTTCATGCTACAACAGGTACATATTGGTTTGGTACACAGTGGTTGCAGGTGAGCACAGTGGGTGGAAGCACCACAGGATTTCTGTTTCGAACTCCACACTGTGTTTGGACACATTTGATGGAAAGCAAGTCCGGCAGCATTCATCTCTTCTAATGATGAATTATAACAGTGTTGATGACTCCAAATCTCCTCACACAGCCTATCTTTATGTCAAGCATTATTTTTACTTTCCCTGCAGGGCCAGTAGTGTGCATGCACAGTGGATGTTGACCCACTACACATGGAGTGCTTTCAGCAAACTCTGAGCAGACTATGTAGTACAATAACAGCAACTACCTGTCCATGGCGTGTGCAGCTGTGTGAGTGCCAAACCATGCACATAATGCCCATGATGCAAGAATATTTATTAACATTTTTACATTAAGATAGTTCTCTCTGTTGTTTTGCATTGAAATTTAATGCTTTAGCAGAAAAAACAACAAAAAAACAAACAAAAAAAATAACACAGTTGGTATTGCTTTGAATCCTGTTTCATACATTTTCATATTTTTATGATAGTAATGCAAGTGAAAGGATTCTCGGGGGAACAGTGGAAATGACACATTTTGTAGACTCATCTTGTTAGCAGGGTAAACTTTTCACAGGTGTTCTGTGCATTACATTCGCTTTATATCCTCTATTCCTGCTTTTTGCAACCTCCTGAATAGAATAACAAGCCATGTCCCAATTTAGAGGCTGCATCCTTCGAAGGATGGAGCCTTCGTGTCCTTCAAAGTATGTGTCATTCGAGGGACCAAAGGCTACATCTGAGCATTTGTTAAATGAGACGGTCTAACCCATCACTGACTTCTTGCGTCATGTCCAGTAGCACCGAGAAACCAGACTGTCGAACAAAATTGTAATTTTGTTTTTAATTTTTTAATATACTTAAAGACCTTGAGGTGCTTGTACTGTATGATTGTACTGGACTAAACTGTCTGAAGTGTCCACAGCTTATTTAAATTTGCTGCATTCACACAAATATGAACCTAAAACATTATAAAATCGCCACAATCTCGGTAAAACACAACTCAAACACTGAAGCTGTACAACTGGAAAGTACATGTTTTAAATTGCAGCAGCTCCAATCAGTAATGTCACATAACTTAATCATTTTTTAAAAAAAAACAAATTATACATTTTTAAAATCTGTTGGTTTTTAACATTTGTGTCATTAGCAATTGGAGTGAGCTGTTTCAATGAAAGTATAATTTAAATATAAATCCATCCTTTCATTCAGGTTGTGAGCAGGTAAAACTCCATCTGTTGATCTGTCAGCAGCGCGCAATGAATCTTGGGATATGTGAGGCTGCAAAGGATCCACCTGATGCATCCTTCGCAGCCGGGGAAAAGAAAGACACATTCATCGACCACATTTGAAGGAGTCTTCATGTCATAATGAGACAGCCTTCGTCGCGTTGTTGAGATGCATTTGGCCTTCAAATGCAGCCTTCAAAGGATGCAGCCTCTAAGTTGGGACACGGCTTCAGTATCCGTCATTACATCACAGTTGGATGACGGGGAGCTCGAACAGCTTAAGTAGTCGTTTTTAATCAGCTATAAATAATATAATAAACACAGGTCTGCAAGGTGGATTGGTGGTTAGCATCGTTGCCATCGTTAGGTTAATTGGTGATTCTAAATTGTCTGTAGGTGTGAATGTGAGTGTGCTTGGTTGTCTGTCTCTAAGTCTAGCCCTGCGATAGACTGGTGACCTGTCCAGGGTGTCCCCTGTCTTCGCCCTAAGTCAGATGGGATAGGCTCCAGCCCCCTACGACCCTAGTGAGGATTAAGCATTGTATAGATAAAGGATGGATAATAAACACAATAAAAAAAACAAAAACAAATCTATAAAGTACTTTGGATGTTTTTGGTCAACCTACATGTTAATTCAACAATTTCCCTGAGGTTCTACCAAAGGGATCAATAAAATTTTATCTATTTTTTATCTATCTATCTAATTGAACACAGATCTGAATCCCCTGAGTGCGCACCTCCCTCCTACCTTATTCACGACTGTGCTAACAGAGGTAGATTCCACACTAAAATTTTAGCACAGCGTCCTTGAAAAGTATGTTAACTACAGACTGAAAATTATGTTTCTTGAGATCAAAACATGTCAAGTGCTTTTGGAGGTTATTCTGTTTGTCATTTGTTTTACAAGATCTAGCTTTCATAATTCTAAAATGAAATAAAGAAAATGAGAGACTTGTTTTTGTTTGTTTTTTTAGCCTATTTATGAACAACAAACAAAGTATCTGTGTACAGAAGAGCAAAACTAGTGTTGTGAGTCTTCACTTGGAGATTTGCGGATAGTTATTTGTGCATTTCTCAGTTTCATCATGTGGATACAACTCCTGTCACACATAGATAACTTTTGTTTTGTACAGTTTTCTGGTGAGTAGGGAATGCAGTGACAGCTGGAAACCAGAACTAATAATTGCTAATTTACAAATTTACTAATGGCACCAATTTGACAAAAAAAAAAAAAAAAAAAAGCATACAAATGCAGTCTAAAAACAGGGCTCAAAAAAGAATACCAAGATCTCCATAGCTGGCCTTAAAAAGCTTACCAAGTGTAAAGGTTTACAGAGTTGTTCTTGTCATTGTAGCATTTCACCCAAATAAGTGTACACGTTTGTTTTAACATGTTTACATCAGATTGGCTTGAACAGGTTTGACTTCATCTCACTGGATGCGTTCGTAGGGGACAACTGTTCCTAGCAGTGTTGTTAATTTGACATCATGTCCGAGCTAGATGTACATTGGTCTTTTTTGTTCTCCAACAAACATGCACTGAGCTCGCATTCATGTCAGTTCATGTAGTTGAACAATCAGAAAATAACTGGTGAGGGTTATCATGCAGTCTCCATCAGGGAGTCAGTGAAAAGTAGTTCTTTGCATTCATCTGCAGCATGCCACTCTTGAGTGTCCATATGTCTAATCTTGCTCCCTCTTCCTGATATCTGCCCTCAGAATAGCAGCATATTCTCACAGCATTTTGGCTGCACGCATTCTGTTTGATTTTAGACAAGAATGCAGCTGTCCAGAGAATGGAGACATTTACATGTACATGCGGTAACAGTGACTGACAGCTCAGCTGCTTATATTTTCCACATCTAGGAAAAGACATCTGTTTGTCAATACATTATATATTTAATTTGTTTTACAAATACTTCATACTTATCCTGTAAGCAAGCAGCTCATGATTGAAGACACTGTTTTTTCCCTCCATTTCTCCTATGAAAGTTGACGATGCTCGTGGTTTTGATAGCAAGAAAAATCACACAGCTAAATTGTTTTTCACAGAGGAGTTCAGAAACAATGCAAGTCAATGTCTTCCTATATCCTTTTTTGCTTTTGATTTTATTCTGCTTTTCAGAAATCTGTCACCCTCTGTCAAAATAGCAAACAGAGGTGGTGTATTTGTGTGCACTAAACTCACTGAGCGTGACTTTAATTTGCAGGTAGTTTCCAAGTTTCTCCCTCCAGGAGTGATAGCTCATCGACACCATTAGTTACCTAACCAGCCTGAGACCTGCCTGCAGCTTCCCAACTGTGTGTGTGTATGCACATTTCTGTGTGCGAGCGTTTGAGCTCATCTTGCTTTATTATGGCTGACTTCCTCTCTCTTCTCATTAGATCTTGCTTTTCCTCTGCTTTGTACACACACGGAAGGTACCTTCATATATATTTTGCCACATTCTCCCCATTTCATGTCGTATGTGCGCTTAGATTTGTTCATGATGGCATACAAACACACACACACACACAC